CTATACTAAGACTTTTTACTTTTTTCGACATGCTATACTAAGACTTTTTTTGGACATACTATAATTAGATTGTTTTGACTTATTTTCCAAATAAAATAGAAGCACAAAAAAATGAACAAACAAAAAACCACAGCAGAGACGACCTGTAGTGCTGATAATCATGCTTTATTAAATCAATAATTGGAGAAAAACTCAAGGAGGCTGCGAAACGCTAACAACTCTAACTTCAATCAAAGCAAAGTGCTGAGCGCTACGCGACACCGCCACGTCACTCCGTCCTCGTTTAGACGCGGTGTTCGGTGGTTGGTTGGTTGGTTTTCGGCTGCCTGGCGGCGCCCAGCTTGACTGACTCCTAAAATCTAAACACACAAACACTCTGCAGACCTCCGAGAGACAGCTCTGCTTCTGCAAAATGAGCAAAACAAGGACGGACTCTTATTTTTCCCGTGATTTGCCGGGTCGATGGTGCGACTGAAGAGCCCGAGCGAGCAGGTCGGTTTGCCAGAAGCAGAGCACAAAAAAAGAAAAAAAAGAAACACTTGTGCTCAGGGAGTGCAGGCCGCTCGCACTGTGAGCGTGTCATTGAAATGGCGGTACGACGTAATCAGTCAGAGCGCGAGGTCCGGTCGTTCTGCTTACATGAGGGTAGATGCAAACAGCACTCGGGATCTCACGCTCGTGTTACAAAGCGACAGCAACGCGGTGCCGTCGAAGTTCTGTCTCCGATTGAGTTAACGTCAACAGGGAGCCTCTCTACCTGTTGAGGCGATCTTTAGACTTCAACGTAATGTTGAGGCACAGAGTTTAGTTTCTCCGTTTAACAGGGTATTCGTTCCTCGTGGAACTTTCTCCTGTTTAAACATTTTTAGTTTCATTTTAGTTTCAGTTAATATTATTGTCATAAATAACATTTCCCATAACCGTTAAATTCGGCTATATACATTATGTACATGTGTCACAGAAAAATGGATCAAAAATCCTAAGTCATAGTTATCCAATATGGCACATTTTATAACAACGTTAGACTCTGAGTCTAGTTTGGCATAAATTAATGTCAAGATTGGTACAAAAATAGTTCATATTTACAAGAACAGAAATCCAGATCTTTGTCACGTAGATTATTTCGCTCGATTAATAAATAAAAAGGCATGGAAGTAGGGAAAAGGGGAAGTTTGGATATTTTTTTCTGTTTTCGTTTCTACGCTGATCGAATGCTAATGTGAACAGTCGCCGTGTCGGATCCGAGCTCGTTGGACAGCTTCAGGGTGTAAGTCCCGGCATCTTCCTCCTTCACCCCGGTGATGATGAGGGTTGTCAGGTCTTCCGAGGTATCGATGTGGAAGCGTCCGCCGGCCGTCACCTCGATGGTTCTGCCGCTGCGGGACCACTGGATGTGTTTGGCGTCGCCGGAAAAGGCGCAGGTGACAGTCAGGACTTTGCCCGGCTCGATGCTGATGTCCTCCGGCAGAGCCTCGATCCTGGGAGCAGAACCTGGAGACCACAGTGCATGTAGATTAGTGCACACGGAGTTTTTAAAATAAGATTTAAGAGGCCACTAGGGGGATGGGTATCGGTAGGACCTTATCAAGACTGCTTATCGGTTCAGTTCCTTATCGGTTCTTTTTGATTATATTGTGAGAAAAAAAGATCAACATTGATTTGTTATTCTTGTATTAATTATCCTCTTGAACACTAGCCCTATTTTTAGGCCTCTGCTCAAAAATTGCATACCCATACTTAAAAGACTGTAAATCTGAAACTACAAGGTCTATTTTAATAATTTTGATGGTATAATACAGGTAACACTTGTGAGATGTGCTGATATGTGTAAATATTGTGTATATGTTACTGGTTAATAACATAAACACATATGGCACAGCTCAAATTGAAAAAGTTTCAGGTTCGCCTGAAAAAAAAGCACTTGTGTTGAAAATATTACTTGAAATAATGCCTAAAAATGTCAATGGCATAGCCACAGTCATAGCACAACATGTTTTACAGTCTCTAAAACAGATTTGACTTCGATTGAGTGAAGCAGGCAGCATAAACCAAGCAAAGTCAAGCAAAATTCTCATTTTTGGAACCAGCAGTTGCGCTGCTGTATTCAAATTTTATATACTGTATAACTAAATATTAACTATATATTCACTTGTCTTCAATAATGCTAATAAAGCAGTTTGGCATCATTTGGAGCAATTTTGTGCCGTCATATTTGTCATCCATAAAATAAATTCCTGAGTGCATGTGTCTATATAAGCCTTTGTAAGGCCTGTGATTGGCCGATTTAATCATGTGACACCTTGTTGCATGCGGGAGAGTCCAACAAAAGCCATGAAGGGGTGTTTGAGAAGCTGCCGGTCCGTTTACTCACCGAAAATCTCGATATGCTTGACTAAACCCCCATGTCTAAATTCATTGGTCCCGCTGACTGAATGGCTGGCATTCTCTCATTCATTCTCTCAGAGCCGCCATTTTACTTCACACACACGGAGGGGGAGACGGATTATAGAGCTGCTGCATATTTCAATGGATTAGCTGCATTTTTCGTCACGAAAATCAGCAAAAGGTATGTGGCGGTTCAATTTTTTTTCTGGGGAGCGGTGGGTTGATGGTTGGCGTTGCTTATATAACTTTTGAACGGTTTGAAAGAGAGTAATTTGGACACGGCCAGTCGTCGCCGGGTCGAATCACGCCCCTATGCATCCGCCATGATTGCTGCCCGCTTTGTCATGAGAGACCCAAACAAAGAGCATAGTACGCAGATTTTTGGCCAAAAAAACGTGGTATTGTGGTAAATCTTCTAGATATCTTCTAGATATGATCTTAGTTCATGTATAATTGTGTTTTGCAGTGTGTAAAATGGCTCCCATGGTTGTTTTGCCCAGAATCTCTTTGTTACACAGGTATATGATATGTCATAAAATATCATTTTATTCGTTTCGCAAAAGTGAATTGTACACGTGTGTACTCTGTCGCCCCCCCTCTAGCCCCCTTTAAAGGGGGCTCTCGGGACCAAGAGTAACCAGGCGGCACCGGTTCCTGTTTAGAACCGGGTTTGGCCACAGTATTTGACAGCAGAGAATAAGGAATGCAGAAGAGCATTTTCGACTTTTAAAATCCAGCTAATAAAAACGTGTAGTGTTGCTAAATTAACTTGGGTGTGTTTTGCATTGGAAGTTTATGGTTTGTAGCTATTCATTTAAAAAAGAAATGCCTTTTTGCTGCCTCTGAATATTAAAGTGGAAATGACAAAGCTACTTTTAAAAGACCACAAAAGAACAACTATTTAACAGATTTCAATCCCGATCTTACCGATTGCTCTGAACGAGGATCCCTCCATGTGGGAGGAGCTGCCGGAGCTCATGGCGTACGTCTCAGATGCCATGGAGGACATGCTGGACATGGACATGGTCTCAAGCTTCATCTCAGCTGCCATGCTACTGATGGAGCTGGACTCCATCATGGAGGACATCATGGCATGCTGGGCGGAGGAGGAGAAGGAGGACGACTCCTCCATCACGTGCATTTCCTTCTTCATCATCATGGACGAGCTCATGGATGAAGAAGACTCCTTGTGACTCATCGTCATTGATCCTGACGCTACGGATGGAAACAGTAAATACGTTAATCTTCAGGATTTGATATTGGGACTAAATCTGTTTAGATACTTGAGGCCGGTGCTCACCTTTAAGTGCCAGTTGCTGCTCTCGGTAGGCTGTGATCTTCATTCGCATGGACTGGAACACCTGTCCGCTGAAGGAGAAGGAGGATTTGGAGACTCCTCCCTCTGATGTCATCTCACAGATGTACTCTCCCTGATCGCTGTCTGCCAGGTTGTGGATTAGAAGGCTGCAGGAGCCCTCGGAGTAGTGCGCTTCAAAGCGGCTACTCTGTGAAAGCCTCCTCCCGTTCATGTACCACACCACCTCCCTGACGCTGCTCTCGCAGACACAGGACATCCTCACCGAGCCCTCGCTGGCCTCGGCCCTAAGCTGACTCAGGACCTTGGGAGGTTTCGGGATTGGGGATTTGATGGTGGGTGGAGACACAACCCTCTTGGGGGACATGATGGGAGGAGGAGACTTCACCCTCGGAGGTGATTTGATTCCTTCGGGCTCAGGGGACTTCAAGGCCCTCGGTGACTTAATGCCTGAAGGTTCCTGTGACTTGATCCCTCTTGGTGACTTGATTCCTGCAGGTTCTGGAGATTTGAATCCTATTGGTGATTTGATTCTTGCAGGTTCTGGAGATTTGACCCCTACTGGTGATTTGATTCCTGCAGGTTCTGGAGATTTGAATCCTACCGGTGATTTGATTCCTGCAGGTTCTGGAGATTTGAATCCTAATGGTGATTTGATTCCTGCAGGTTCTGGAGATTTGAATCCTATTGGTGATTTGATTCTTGCAGGTTCTGGAGATTTGACTCCTACTGGTGATTTGATTCCTGCAGGTTCTGGAGATTTGACTCCTACTGGTGATTTGATTCCTGCAGGTTCTGGAGATTTGACTCCTACTGGTGATTTGATTCCTGCAGGTTCGGGTGACTTCACTCTCTCCGGAGACTTGGCTGGTGGTGGTGACTTGTGTCTGGGTTCAGGAGATTTCATACCCTGTGGTGACTTAACTCCCTCAGGTTCAGGAGATTTTACACTTGGCGACTTTATACTCAGCACTGGCGACGTCACACTCGGTGTTGGCGACATCACACTCGGCGTTGGAGACTTCACACTTGGAGTAGGAGACTTCACACTTGGAGCTGGTGATTTGATTGAAGGCTCAGGCGACTTGATGCTCGGGACTGGGGAAGCTACGGAGGGAGCCCGTGATGTGACTGAAGGCTCTGGTGACTTCACACTGGAAGTGGGTGACTTTACAGCTTTGACCTCTTTGGGAGCCGGTCTGCGGATGGTCAAGGTGAAGTGAGCCTCCTGTCTGCCTGCTGAGTTCTCTACCACCACCGTGTAACTGCCCTCATCGGAGGCTGTCACGGAAGAGATCTCCAGGCAGGACTTGTACTGAGTGGTGGTGACCTGGATGCAGTGAGATGAGACGATGGCTCTGCTCTCTTGCATCCATGTCACAGTTGGTGCAGGCTCCCCATCGATATCACAGGAGAATCTGGCTGTCTCTCCCTCTGCAACCGTCACAGACTGGGGCTTGGTGAGGATTTTGGCAGGAAGAGAAGGCTTCACCTTGTGGACAGCAACTTCCTCAGATATAGCAGCAGCAGAAGACGACTTCACTTTAGCTTCAGACAAGGTGCGTTTCCCGGTGAGAGAAAACTTTTCCGATGAGTAGGAGGAATCAGATGACAGGTATTCAGCAGAGGCATACTTGATGGATGAATCATACCTCTCAGCAGAGGAGTATCTCTCAGAGGAGGCAGCATATCTTTCACGGGTTGAAACCTCATGTGTCTCGGTGAGCTTAGACTTGCTCTCCTCCACCTGAAGGTGGGACTCGGAAGCATAGCCAGCTTTGAAGTGGGTGGTGTGATAGTGGTCGATTCGAGTGACTTCAGGGAGATATCCTTTGGGAACATCCTCGTCCCTGCGGCGAGAGGAGAAGGTGGTGTAGCCGCCACCTGACACATCGAGGGTGGCGTAGTCGGAAGCTTCTCCCTTGGAGTTGGAGCACACACAGCGGTATGTGCCACTGTCTTCCTCCTGGCAGTCCAGAATAGTGATGGACAGAACACCGCTCATGTTAGTGAAGACATATTTCTCACCGCTTTCAGTGATTGCATTTCCATTGTGGAGCCACTTGACCTCGGCCTCTGGCTTGCTTTGTATGTTCAGGGTGAATTTGGTGTCTTGGCCAATCGGTATGCGATGAGAGCGCATCCTGACGGTCACACGGGGCGTGTGGTCCAGGCTGAAAGGTGTCTGGCTAACCACCTGATATTTCCTCTCGGACTTCAGGGCAGCCTTTCTGGCCTCATAGCGTGACATGATGTCAAAGCGGGCGGACCGCTCGAACCTGGAGGAGGAGCGGGATGACCTCTCAACGGATCTGATGGGGCTGGGAGAGCGAGGACGGGTCCTCTCAGGGGTGGGGGACCTCCTCAACACGACCTCGCCCTCTACTTCCACAGGCAGCCTGGAACGTGACGGTCTGATCAGCTCTGAGACTGGACGCATGAGCTCGATGTACGTGGGAGAAAGTGACCTTCTCCTCCTCGTGAACTGAGAAATGGTGCGTTTCTTCTTTGTTTTAGCGACCTCGACAGCCTCGTACCGCACCTCCTGCCTGCTCTCTTCAAGTTCCACGGCACGCCGCTCCATGTGTACAGGACTGCGGGTGGGAGAGGCAGAAAAGCCTAGCTCCAGTTCATCCTCCAGCATCATTTTCTCCTCCTCGGTTCTCCTCACGGAAAGGTAGTCATCCACAGGCATCAGCAGCTCCTCATCAATAATGGCTCCCAGAGATCTCCTTCTGGATCTGAAGGAGATCTCGGATTCAGGATAAAATGAACAGCGGGCGGGCCTGACAGTCTCCAAATCATCCAGAGTGAGTTTTGGAATACGCCATCTTGGCCTGTACTGGTCGGTGATTCTAGGGAGGGGCATGACATAGAACTGCTCCCACCTGGACAGGCGAATACGTCTCTGCCTCTTCTGCACAATCCTCTCCATCTTCTCTGAAACCTCATACTGGTCCCTAAGTTTTCTGTACCACTTCATGTCAGAGAGAGGCACAAACTGTTTGATGGCTTTGTCCTCATCCAGATTTCTGGGATCATGGACCAGAGGCTCAGGGATCTCATAAGGCATGAAGATCCTCCTCTCCTCCTCCAGCTTCTTGGTCACGGACTTCTCTACCGAGATGTCAAACTCGCCCTCAACGTTCTTGGTGCTTACTGCAGGCTTGTACATCTCTGCAGCGAATTTGAGTGCATTCTGGGCTGTGGGGTTGAAAGGTACGAGCTCCTCGGTGGCAACAATTTGCAGAGCCATCTTGTTAGTCTTTTCAATTTGTTTCTGTACATGTCTGTATTTCTCCTCCTCGCTCTTATACTCTCTCCTGGTGTAGGTAAGGCGGTCCACATTCAGTTTAGCCTGGCAGCTTGCAGAGCCAGCAGAGTTGGTTGCGGTAACCTTGTACACACCGGCGTCCTCGAACAGAGTATCTCTGATGTGCAAGACGTGGTAGTCAACGTCCTCCTGTATGACAACAACCTTGGGACCGAACTCTAGTGAATGCCCGTCCTTCTGCCATTTCAGAGTAGGAGTCGGGCTTCCTGAGACTCTGAGCTCGAAGCGGATGCTGTATCCCTCGACACAATCAACATTAGCCAGCAGACGTTTGAACATCGGCCTCATAGTTTCCTCAGTTACAGGATGAGGTGTCACAGTGAGACGGGCCTTGCAGCTGTCTTCTCCAAACTTGTTGTGGGCCATGACAGTGTATTCTGCATCATCGTCCAAACTCAGGTTGTGGATCATCAGCTGGTACAGACCCTTATCACTGGTGAACGTGTACTTCCTGTCATCTTCACCTGGCTTGATTCTCTCCCCATTCTTTAGCCATGTTACGTGAGGGTCCGGGTGCACAGTGATAGTGACACCGAAGCGCACATCTTCGCCAATGTAGGCAGAGCGATTGTAGAGAGGCAAAGTAAACTCTGGCGGCCTCTGCAGGAGTTTAGTCCTGTCAACTCTCCTCCTCAGCTTCTTGATGGAGCGGCTAATATAGTACTCTTTGATGCTCCTCACTGTCTCAACAAAGAGCTCTCCGTAAGCACTGTCCTCTCCATCATCACTCACCACCTTGCATCTGTACACACCATCATCACTCTCGTCAATGTCCTTGACATAGATGCTGGCAAAACCATTAGTGTAAGTAATTTCATACTTGGCGCTTGCGTGTAGCTGACGGTTACCGTGGTACCATGACACCTGAGTACTCTTGTCGTAGTTGGTGATGCTACAAGTGAATCTGACGTGACCGCCTTCTTCAGCGGAGCCATGCATGACTGGGCCAGTGCGAATGCCATGGTACTCAATTCCAATCTTCACTTTACCCACTGCCAATCCTCTCTGGTTCTTGAAGGCGCCACCATAGGCAACACGAGCTGCCGCTATAATGGTATCGGTCCTCTTTACCAGAGACTGGTAGTACCTTCTGTGTTTCAATGTCCTAATGACCTTGCTACTGACATTCTCAATCTTCATCTTGAGCCATGGGTGCTCCAGAGCCTCATGGGCTGTCATACGGAGCTTCCTGTCTTTGACCAGCAGTCTGTCGACAAAGTCCATAGCCTCCAGGCTGATGTCCTTAAATGCTTCACTGTCAAAGATGTATTCACAGTTGGAGATGTTCTCAATCATCTGAGTAGTGGACTCTGCCCCAAACGGATTCAGGCCACTGAGCAAAACGTAGGCCATTACACCAACAGACCACATATCAGTGGCTGTCGTGACCATGTCGTGACGGTGGATCTCAGGGGCACAGTATTCCGGAGCTGAGAACGGCATTCTAACGTTTTCTCCTGGCACCAGTAGCCTAGCCTGGCCCATCTCAATGATCTTTATGGTGGTGCTTCTCCTTGTGGTGTAGACAATGTTGTCGGGGCGGATATCAAAGTGGCCGAAGTTGTGGCTATGCATGAACTTGAGGGCAGAGCAGACTTGTCTCAGGTAGCGGACAATCTCCTGCTCCGTAAGCTCGAAGTTGCAGGTGCCAAGGCGCTCGAAGATGTCAACTCCAGACATGAATTCAAAGATCAGGATGATCTCCTCCATGCTTTCAAAGTATTCATGCAGGTAGATGATATTCATGTGCCTTGCTGCATTGAGGGCTTCAATTTCTCTGAGAACCAACTCACGGTCAGTTCCTTTGACCTTGATAAACTTGGCCATGAAGGTCTTCTTTGTGGCAATCTCTGTGCAGCGGTGGACCACTCCAAACTGGCAGCGAGCAAGTTCCTCAGAGATGACGTACTTGGAGGACAGCTCCTTCACCTTGTAGAACAGAGCCTCCTCCTTGGTGACCTCTCTGGTTTCGTCCACTTCCTCGTCATAGTTCCGAATCACAGACTTGTCTTCCTTTGTGGTGATGGGCTCTGTTGGCTGAGAAGGAGAGCTCTGGCCAAACTGGTTTTCAGCGATGATACGGAACTGGTACTTGGTCTTTCCGAATATGTTGATGATGGTAATGCTACAGTCAGCGGTCTGTCCAGCACGGATCCACCTGTCAGCAGTGGTGGGACACTTCTCCACAATGTAGTTAATGATGTCGCTTCCACCATCATTGGCAGGTGGCTCCCAGGTCAAGGTGATGGAGTCCCGAGCAATGTCGCTGACGACCAGACCCTTTGGAGCATCAGGTATGTCAGCCACGTTCACCTCAATGGTTTGCTTGTCCGTTCCGAACCTGTTCTTTGCTGTTATAGCGTAGTAGCCAGTATCCTTCCTCTCCATTCCCTTCAGGAACACCAGGGAGGTGAAAGACCTGGTGGTGATGATTTGGTGATGAGCAGAGTTGGAGAGGATCTCCTGACCCTTCTGCCAAATGATTGCTGGCTCAGGCTTGCCAGAGATGGGGATCTTGATGGTGATGTTATCACCACGGACAGCATGGACTGCTCCCATTCCCTGGAGCTCCTTCGGCAGGTGGATCTTAGCAGGAACTGGAATTAAAATAGATATTTATTAAGATGTATTCAATTTAAGTAAGTACACTTGCAGAGGATGCAGGATAATGGATTCTAGAAAACAAGAAAAAAATGTTGCAATACCAAAATGATATCATTACCTTCCACCTCCAGGTTGGCTGTTGTAGAGATGGATCCTGAGGAGTTGGTTGCTCTGACTTGGTAAACTGTGGCATCGGTCTCATCAGCGGCAGTGATGACCAGCTGGTAGTAGCCTCCCTTGAACTCCTGGGCTTTAATCTTGGTTCCATCTGCCTCTATCTCTTTTCCACTGCGGTACCATTTCACCAAAGGTTTGGGATGTCCCACCACCTGGTCATGGGAAAAATAACCAAGTTAAAGCATACCCAAGTATAAATGTTGACACAGCATTTGACTTCTTGAAAGTAAAATTAAATGTAGTTAAAATAAAGTACCTTGGTGACAAAGGTGGCATTGGCTTGGTATTTGGCGGTTATGTCCCTGATCTCCTCCCTGAACGCGGGAGCACAAGGAGACTGGTCGGACTTGGGGATGATCGGCGCTGAGATCTCACTCCAGTCGCTTTCACCGCCCAAGTTCTCACACTTGACACGGAACTCGTACTCAAAGCCCTCGATCAAGCCTGTGACCTCGAAACTGGTCTCCACCATCTTCTTGCTGGTTACTGACATCCACTTGTTCTGCTTCTTCTCACGTTTCTCCAAGTAGTAGCTGGAGATTTTAGCTCCACCGTCGCTGCTTGGAGGCTTCCAGCAGACCACACACGAGTCCTTGGTGGAGCTGATGATGAAGGGCTGCTGTGGGATGCCAGGTTTTTCTGAGAAATAAACCGGGAATGTTACTGCAGTGCTCATACATACCTGTGAAGTTAGCCCCATTCTCTACAATGTAGCCACAGAAGCCAAAGCTGGCAAACAAAATATGTTTGGACTTACCAAATGGACTCTTAACGATGACCACCGATGGGATCTCCAGAGACTCACTGACTCCGTACTGGTTCTTGGCAGAGACTCTGAAGTAGTAGCCGGCGCTCTCTATCAGGTTGGGGACACGGCAGTTGGTGCCAGAAATGGAGGAAGACACCAGGTGCCACTGCTCGCCTTCTTTGGCCTCACGTTTCTCCACAATGTAGTTGGTGATCATGGAGCCGCCGTCGTCCTTTGGAGAATTCCAGCTGATAACAATTGAGCTCTTCAGCAGGGCGTCAACAACAATAGGGCCCTCGGGGATGCATGGTTTATCTGGAGAAAAAAGGTTGTTTTTATTCATATACATGGGTCTAGTAAGAGTTATTTTTAATTTATATGTTTGACAAAGAATATTTTAGAGTTAAGAATTTAGAATGTCTAGTCAATCTAACTTGCAGATTGCATGGTAAATGGTTTACTTATTGACTTTCATTTGAAATATAAAGATAATACAGATGTCTTCACTAGAGGCTATATTCTTTAATATTTAAACTTTCTGAGTTTTGTACTATTTCCTGTTCTCAGAAGTCTGGTGTTACCTTGGATTTCAACGCGGAGCATAGTGTCGACGGTTCCGTACACGTTGCTAAGCTGCACCTTGTAGCGGCCAGCGTTGGTCTTCCTCTGGACGTTCCTCACCACCAGGTGGGAGTAGCTTTCAGTGTTTTCAATAATAACATTCTCGGATGCGTTCAGAGGCTTCTTGTCATAGAACCACATTATCTTGGGGATGGGACGTCCAATGTAGACGACATGGAGGCGAAGGCTGGTGCTGGCCCCGGCAAAATACTTCTCTTTCATAGGGAAACCAGGGTGGAACTGAGGCGCCGCCTGCAGTCGCAGTTTGCCACTGGTCTCGACCTCTCCGGCTTCGTTGACGGCCCTGCAGGTGTAGCTGCCCTCGTCTTCCTGCTCGTCCGTCAGGATGCTGAGAGAGTGGTTACGGCCATCTGAGCTCATCTTGTACTTGCGGCTCTGGATCAGTTCCTTGCCGTAGCGGTACCATTTGATCTCAGGCAGAGGTCTGCCAATGATGCCACAGGTGAGAGTGCCGGACTCACCAAGCTTGGTGGTTACGTCCTCGATCTCGTCCTTCATAGCTGGAGCCTCACCAACTGCAGAAACATCAGCAAGGTTTGATTTTAATCTAGATTTGATCAGCTTTTTACATTTTGCTCTAAACATTCTTGCAATCCTGATGCTGCTAGCTCAGTACCTGCTGTATATAAATTATGATGACATGCACAAAAAACACAACATTCAACTACACATGATCTCTTGTTTAACTTTGTAAGACGCAGGTCGCATCACAAAGTGGCTGCGAGATTTTGATTTAACAAACATAAATACATGTTAAAGACATAATCACATAAACGCCTCTGAATTCTGCACCAGCTCACCGCTCAGTTTGGTCTTGATGCCCATGGGTGTGCGGCGAGGTCGGCTGAGTCCAGTCACGTTCTCAGCGAAGATTCTGAACTCGTACTCGGTGGCCTCCATCAAACCGCCCATGGTGAACTGACGATCTTTGGAGCGCTCCTTGTTGCACTTCTTCCAGGCACTTTCTCCCGCCTGCCTGAACTCAATCCAGTAGCCCAGAATCTCCTTTCCACCGTCATGCTCTGGCCTGAGCCAGTGGATGGTGATGCAGTCTTTGGTGATGGAGATGATGTCGATCTCTCCTGGTTGGCTAGGTTTGTCTATAAGGAGACAGACAGGAGGAGATTAATACTCAGGGGGAGTATTGCTCAAAGCAAGACTGCTTTGTTTTTCAAAGCCTCCTCTACTTAAACTACTTATTTGTTTATTTATGCAGAAATAGGCATCACGTAATGTTAACTCACCAAATGGATCTTTGCAGACCACGGACTCTGAAGCAAGACCAGGCTCGCTCAGCCCAATGTCGTTCTGAGCCACCACTCTGAACATATACTCTGCATCAGGGATCAGACCGGTGACGTTGTACATGGTAGTGGTAATGTGGGTCTTGTTGTGTCGGACCCACTTCTCCGTCGACACCTCTCTCCTGTCCACGTAGTACCCTGTGACGCGGGAGCCTCCATCGTCCCGGGGTCGGGCCCAGGACAGAGTCACCGTGGTCTTGGTCACGTCCATGATCTCTGGTGGGTTGCTGGGAGGCTCTGGTGGGCCTGGAGGTGAAATGTTAGCGCAATCAATATTGACAACAACAGCTATTGACATCAGAATTACAGATACAGTTGTGTGAAAAAGTGTTTGCCCCCTTCCTGATTCCTTGTTTTTTTGCATGTTTGTCACACTTAAATGTTTCAGATCATCAAACAAATTTAAATATTAGACAAAGATAACACAAGTAAACACAAAATGCAGTTTTTAAATGAAGGTTTTTATTATTAAGGGGGGAAAAAAATCCAAACCTATATGGCCCTGTGTGAAAAAGTGATTGCCCCCTAAACCTAATAACTGGTTGGGCCACCCTTAGCAGCAACAACTGCAATCAAGCGTTTGCGATAACTGGCAATGAGTCTTTTACAGCGCTGTAGAGGAATTTTGGCCCACTCATCTTTGCAGAATTGTTGTAATTCAGCCACATTGGAGGGTGTTCGAGCATGAACCGCCTTTTTAAGGTCATGCCACAGCATCTCAATCGGATTCAGGTCGGGACTTTGACTAGGCCACTCCAAAGTCTTCATTTTGTTTTTCTTAAGCCATTCA